GTCGCCTGTCAGCGCAACTTACATGATGCCGTTTAGACAATATAATAATAAAGGGCGGTGCCGGCTGTCAGCGAACCGATCCGGCCTTTCTCACTCAAATGCGGGACATAATCTCAATTTGGGGACAAATAATAGAAATGCTGTGTGTGCAGTCCCACACAGTGAGGGACACCTGGTCACCCTACACACACACACAAGGTGCTGCCCCTCTCACACACACGCTTCAAATCAAGTTGCATAAAAGCTTGAGCTACGTTTTTATTATAATTACTGTGAAATCTGCTTATTATGTTTTCGTCATTATTACAACAAACACACACTTGCAACTGATAACACTGGCAATGAATTTATATTTATTAGACTATTAAAAAAAAAATCATGCTTCAAATAAGCGTCCAACGCCCACTACACCACTGCTTATGAGCATTTGCGGCTTATATTGTAACAGCATCTCCTGATTCTGGTCAAATATAGTTCAAAATGAGTTCTCCCAGCTAATTACAGGATCAGATTTATATAAATATCCCTTCTTATTTCAAGAAATCTTACCAAGCTAATTTTCACTTGTTCAAGTGAAAACACCTTGTTTTCCTTATTGTTTAACTTGTTTTTGCAGCGGCATATTTTCCAGTGCTCAGGTTTTAATTATTACAAGTGAATCTGTTTTAATATTGTTTACTTGTGTCTTATTTATCTTTACAATATATATATATGTAGTGTTGGTTGCTGCAGCCCATTGTGCTTCCACCTGGAATAAACTACGCTATATAATTAAGCTTTGCTTGCTGTTTTCCTCAGCTGTGTCGATAGAAGCAGCTAGAAATAATGTGGCTTATTCCTGCAGGTGAGCCGTTCATATTGTGATAAATGCATAATCAAATCCTCCAGAACAATTAGGGCTCCAGCTGACAGCCGCCTGCAGCTACCGAGTCATTACTCTGCAAAGTGCTGCCGTCTGTGGAATACATCTGCTCCAAGTCTGAGAATAACACGGGGAAAGTGAAATAAATCACATGAGATTTTGTTTTGTTTTTCTTTTGCAGAGAGCTCTCAGTGAGACCAAGACTCCAGAAAACCCCAGAAGCCCCAGACTGTCCTCCCCTCTGGTCTGGTAGAAGAAAAGAAAGAAAAAGAGGATTATGGTCAGATGTCGGCTTCATTTTCACTCTGCTCTCCAACAACCAAAGTGCCAAGATCACACACAGAGACACTCACAGCGACGGGAACAGAGAGCGCGTCATCTATAGCAAACGGAATCTAACTGTAGAAAATCACAGATAATGAGCGACCTGTGTGCATGTGTTATTTCAGGTGTGAACAGGAAGTCACCGCACACTAGTCTTTACTGTACTTTTTAAAGCAGGTAGTCAAATAATTAAACCCTCTACTAGCTCCGGTGCATCTCGATATTTAGGTTACTAGCGATGTTTAATACGTGACTATATAAAAGTTTATATTTTCTATCAGAGAGTAAGCGTAGATGTAGACGGATGAAACTAGAAGCAGGTGTAGTTTAGGTAGCGTGTGCAGAGCCAGAGAGTTCATACAGCGGTGCGTTCACTGCCTCACACACAGCACGAGTTCATTACTAATGGTAAAAATCAATGTTGTATTCCAGCATTATGTATCACCATTACTGATTTAGAGTTACATTACAGTATCATGCTATCACACTGTGAGTTTAAAGGGCATCTATCATAGGAATTGTAATACAATACAAATATATAGGGAGATTAAGTCAAATTCATCCACACCCACTGGTTCAGTTAATAATCTCTATGGAAGCAAAACAACGCTTTTTTAATATAAACATCTGAATGCCCTACTTTTTTCAGGTTTTCACATTAATTCTAAAAACTTTTCGTTAAGGGCATTAGTTGGATGAAACAAATGAAATTGTTCAAAACCCCCCCTGGAGGTAACTTTGGGATTTTAGCCTTTGCAGACCATTTACATGCACCAACACCTTGATAACACACTACAGGAAAGGGAAAATACCCCCAAAAAACGTGTTTAAACTGCAGCAGCTCATAGGCATTGTGATTGATTGCCTGCAAGGACTCTAGATGAATCCGCACACTACAGGAAAGAGAAAATACATTAAAGGGCCCCTTTAAAAACGCAGCTACTCATTTGCATTGTGACTTTTCTGCTTGCGAAGGACTTCAAGTTGAATGAAATAACTTATATTTATTCCTGAAACATCCTCAGACCACCTTTCACAGAGAGGCGACACTGAACACATCAGCGTGTGGAGAAACCTGGCTCACAAATCCTCTGTTTGGCAAAGCGTGGGTCTCTGGGTTTACATGAGAGGGCTGAGTGCTTCAGGCAGAGGCTCTACAGTGAGGTAAACACAGCGTCTGATGAATGAAACGCATGTGGAGGAAAATCTAAACGTCCTCCTGTAAATGGTTCCTTCCTGCTTCCTGGTCGTCATGGTGACTCCTCTACAGTACAGTGTGTTGTATTTATGTCGATGAAATATTGTTGAGATTGTACATTTACAGTTTTTGCTATGCACTGCTCATCATTTCATTTTTTACCGTATGTGTGTCATCGGGACATTCTTGTTATTTATTCTTTATGCACTGCTTTAGTCAGGCTCATACAACGGCGTCTTAGGGACATTTGTAGTTTTAAAATAAATAAATAATTATAGAGCCAGGAGAGGTGAGTAATATCTGAAAGACATATCCAAAGACTAAAGTTGTAAATACATAAAAAAGTGTATCTTATGTGAAAAAACATGGATATATTTTGTGAATAAAGAGGTCAATTTACGTGAAAAATAATGTACATTATTTGAGATTAAACTAGTAGGAAAGAGTAATTAATTCATCTTTTATAATTACATTTTTTATATTATTAATCTGTAAATAAAAAGTCATAAATTGGCAAAGAAATCTGAAATACCCCAAAATCAAAGGTTCACACTTTAATTAAAAAAAATCACAATATTCAAGTTTTTTCCTCATGAATGTATTAATAATATTAACTTATTCCAAGAATATATAAATACTTTTTTCAAATTATAATCCTATGCTTTAACTCTAAATATGACTCCCCTCTGGCTCTGTTATTATTTACTTTTGAACCTCTGTGGTCCCAATATGCCGAGCTGACTGATCTTGTAAAATGCGACCCCAGCTGCGGCTGCAGTCTCAGTGTTTGTTGTCCAAATGGATTGCATGTTGGTGCAGTCGATATGTGAAGATGTGCGGCTGGTAGCATTCCCCCCCCCTCCCTGGATATTTAAGTTTAAAATAAATACAGTTCTGTCTACTTTATCTATTGTTTTTCTACAGACTGCCTTTTATTATCCTTTCATTTGATTCCTTGGAAAGTTGCTCTAGTTTCGACTGAGTAGTTTTTGTATACAAATAATATTAACCATATATAGATTTGAAATATGTAGGTATGTTAAAGGGGACCTATCATGCAAAATGCTCTTTTTGATGTCCTTTATACATGTGTCCCCGGTGTGTCGGGGAACTCACGCAGCGTCAGAAAATAAAACCCTCTCTCTTTTCCTCCGTACCCAAATCTCTAAAAACGGGGCTACAACGGAGCTGATCCAGATTTGCGTCCGATATGATGTAATAACGGAAATGTAGGCTGGCTTTACACCCACGGGCCTATCAGAAACTCTGCTATCAGAAATAATGCCCGACTGTTTTGGACGTAATATGGTCGGTGTTTACATTAGCATCGCTAACACTCAGAGCTAACCTGTACTGGAGAGCATGTGTGTGAAGAAGCAGGAAATAAAAAGGAACTCACCTTGTGGTATAACCGGCAAGAGAGAAAGCCTTTGAGGTCCATACTGTTTCAGAGATAATCCTTGATAATCCATGATATGGCGTTTCATCACGGCAGTATTTAGTTTAGACAGTAGCTGCCGGGTCCCGCATGAGCTCAGCCCCCCTTTTTTTTTTATTTAACATTTTATTTTATTTTTTAAAGCTTTATACCCCAAATCAGCACTTTTGAAACAGGAAGTGAAATAGAGTGGTATGAGGCATGGCTAGAATGGGTGATCTGTTTGGTATTTTGAGCAAAACACTTCATAGACATGTTTTTTATATAGTTGTATATATCTGAGACCTATGCTATTGCCTAAAAATAGCATGATAGGTCCACTTTAAAGTGTTGCAATGGACTACATTACAAGCTATGTTTTATGTCTCTCCAATCCAATTTAATGCTTACACTAATTTAATTTATACCTCTATGATGAAGACAGCCTAATACTGAATATTACAGCAGAATAGTTGAACTGGACTGCATTTGATTATACATGAGTACCTAATAAAGTGTACACAATGGGTACAATCACATACTTTACATCTACATCTGTCTTTACTGGGTTTTGTATTATTTATTTGGGCAAAAAATACTTACTAACTGAATTGACCGGTTTTTGTATGGGTATTGCTTTGAAAAAGTATTGCCACTTATATTTTCCTATTCTCTGTAAATATTGTGAAGCTCAGATATTGTACTGTACCTGCAGAGGCTCTGCGTCTTTGGCAGGGATCGTCGTGACAGATGTGAAGATCAGCTGAGACGAATTGTTGCTTTCAAAAAACTTCACACATCTGTGGAAAGAATGAAGAAGAGAATAATGTGTAGGGATGGCATTCAGGATATCCAATAGATTTATATTTATTTGCCTGACATTCTACATAAGAGATCGATATTTATTACCTTTACTGTCATAGTTCCCTTCAGGGCCTAAGATTGAGATACTTTTCTCTCTGTGTGAGTGAGTGAGTGAGTGAGTGAGTGAGTGAGTGAGTGAGTGAGTGAGTGTGTGTGTGTGTGTGTGTGTGTGTGTATTACCTGAGCTGCTGGTGAGACTCCACCAGGAAACAGAGGTAGTGGTTCTCACAGAGGTCAGAGGTCAGAAATACTTTAGATGCCTGGCTGCTCATCTCCCTGCAAACACAAACATTAGAAGATATGTGTGAAACAAGATCAGCAACAAAAACAAGAGTTAAACAAATCATATCAAATAAATATATCCCTGCTGTGAGGAGCTCCCATCTGATAAGTGATTAAGAATTTAACTGATTTTTAATTTAATCTGAACAACTTTGATGGTAAAAATGCTAAAGGACAGAATATGATGCTCTTTTTTTCACGATCATTTATATGTCAACAAAAATCCCAGCAACAATTTTGGACTTCTTATTTAGAGCGGGGAAAAGGGTTAATTGTGTTTAAATAATTCACTTAACCTGGGTACTACCAAATCAAGAATACAAGGATTACCCTATTAAAGCTGAACTGAAATTACTGTAAAAAGAAATCAATTATAATCTTATCTTTCTTCAAAAAAATGATGTATCTGACGAAGAACAACAAGGGAACACATCTGTTTTTCTGATGAGGATGCCGTATATGATAGATGGTAAACATTTTCTGGTGTTAACTTGTAAGTCCTAAAAGCTATGTGCCTTAATACACATTTATAAAACCGACAAGTCAAATCAAGCAATCTGATTGGTTCTTAGCCGTGATATACTGAGCGTATACCACGGGTAGAATTGTAAGTTACTTTTCACAACAAGTCAGTATCCCTCCGCGTCTGAGAAAAACAGTATACCGTTGTGCTGAAAAGCAAACTGCCTGCAGTTTGCTTTTCATACTGGAACAAGAAAGCAGCGGAGAAGTAACGGGGCAGAAGCCCTCCTTTTGGACGCAGCGGTCCAGACATAGACATCAAACGCCAAAACATATTCAGTGTGCAGTTCCTTTGGCATTAGGGCAGGGATATCTAGATACTTTCGAAGGTTTAACATAATGAATTGTGCTACTTTTAAAGCAAGCAACGATGTTTTCAAATCTGTAATCAAAGAGGTCCGCAAAAACGCAATCAACCAATCAGATTGCTTGATTTGACTTGTCAGTTTTATAAATATATTTAAATTTCTTCCGTTACGAAACAAACTTACAAAGCTTAAAATGGAAACATTTAAGATGAACTTCGACCTCCGGGGGGGTCTTACTATAGTATTGAGGAGTGGATTGAGCAGTGCCTATCTCCAGAAAAAAAAGCACCTAAACTACGACATGCAGAGCTACGTGAAGAGCAGGTAGACCAACTGGAAAAGTACCACCATTCAAAAGCTTTCTGATGCGGGTCTTGAAACAAAGCAGAGAAATTATGACCGTAGTGGCCACAGGTGCGAAAGCTCTCTCCAGAGCTACTGGAAGCCCAATCTCGGGGACCGGAGAAAGTGGAGCAATATTCTCGCCACGCCAAGCAACAGCCTAGAACAACCTATACAAGTGACCACGTAAGCCATGCTACTGATGCTGGACAGTTTTTCAGTGGATGCACAATAAACAGCAACATACACATTAATGTAAATAAACAGCCAAATAATGGATCAACGCTCTCTGTCTAATATGTTCGCTTGCTGTTAGTGTTGTTGCATAGCAACCACCTTGCACTATGTTTTGTGCAGAAGGCAACGGAGGNGGGGAATTATAACGTTCGAATTTCTCTGAAAAAAACCAACATTTTCCGGGAAGGTGCAGCATCCAAGACGTTCTTCATTGGTACCGTATTGGGTCAGAACATCTGAGGCCGAAGAGCAAAAGCTTACACAGAGATACGTTTTTTTTTTCATAAAGCATTTTTTTTTTTGACCTGGCGAAATCTGACACCACTTCACGACTGAGAGATCACAGCGCTGCGTGCTCTCAGCTCAGTGGGAAAGACAGGAAAAAGACCTCTAAACCGTTCACTCATAAACCACTTGCCTGCGCTCGGGTGCAACATCAGCTGTTTGTGCGTCTTTCTGTTCAGGCTGGAAACACCTTTCACTACATTCACTCGCACACAGCCTGCTCAAAACACACACAGGATCGATGGAAAATAAACAGAAAAAGGCAAAAACAAATACTGACTGTTCAGGCTGGGCCGGTGGTTGCTACTTCTCCTTATAAAAACCCAAAGAAATCAACCAAAAAACACATTTAAATAACAATACAAGACTTCTATTGCAGAGGGTCACCTTCCTCACGTCCCTGAAACAAACTGATGCCAAGACAGCTTCTTGGAAAATACTGTAGTACTAGGAGCCGATACAGTAAATATATATGTATATATATATATATATGTTGGTTCTGGGAGGAACCCTTAAGGCATGATTTACATTTAAAGACTGCATTAATTACGTCAAGCCACAGGGAATGTGTGTTGAATCGGTGAATAAATACAGGAGGGAGGGGATGCCATTCAAAAATCAAGTGTTTGAGACGACTGGAAACCCGCAGTCACACTTTACCAGTTTTTGGTTTCTCCGTCACCTGCTGACCTTTTCTTTTAGTTGATATCCCCCTGTGCTGTAGAAATACCTCTTCTTTAATTCATTTATTGATCTAAGGCCTTTTTTCAACTTAAAAAAAACATACACAACCTCACACCAAGGTCCAAAACGAGTCCATGTGTTGGCGTTCCCCCCGCGTCGGTGCCCACGCTCTTTACTCGTTTTCTGACGTGTTAGCGGTGAGTCAGAAGTCCTTTTTTTGTCCTCTGCTGGGTGATTGTCTGCGGAGTAGAGACAGCCGGGCGTGGGCAGCAGGGGGGGGGGGCTTCAGTGACACAACGCTCCCCACCGGCTGCTAACATGATGGAGGTCACGAGGACTCTGGGTAAATAACGGCGAGTGACGGCAACTCTGGGACACCTGAAGAAGAAGGGGTTTGTTTTGGAGTTTCTTTTCTTTTTTTTTTGATCACTAGATATATCTTAGATTGAACTGAACTGAGAAAAATGTAATTTAAATATTCTGTGACTCCAAATTAAGTATTTAAAAACAGAAGAAGAAGGTGGTGGTGGTAGTGTGGCTGGAGGTCTGGTGGAGTGGTCTAATACGATGATAAGGGCTGCACATTTTTTTTAATCTGCTGGTTTGCTTAATTAATTATTTGGTCGATAAGATTTCCCAAAAAAGTTGAAATGCCCTCCCAAAAACCTTAGTTTACATATTCTAGTAGCTTGTTTTTTGGTATTTTTAGCTTTAAAAATGATTTATGGATTATTAAATTGTTAAAGTAAATATCTATTGAATGTCTTTCAGATCCAACTACTAACATAAATAGCAGAACATTTAATTGTTAGCCTCTTAAATATGGATTTTCCTTTAACTGTGGGTTCTGGACTGTCAAATAAAAACATTTAGACACGTAACCTTGGACATTTTTTACTATTTTCAGACTAGACAAGAATAATCTATACATTGGGAAAATAACCAGCAGACTAATCAAAGATAAA